TTGCCGACCACGGGGCTAGACGACTAACGTGGAGCAAAAACTCGGTACCTCAGTGACTTTATTATTAGTCAGGGAGGTCTTGTGAGCTATTATTCACAGCCCTGACCCGATCCGTTATAACGGCGCCTCTCGCCCCTCAGATTCTACGCGCTTTGCTCCCAAACTCCGCTGCGGATTTTTCACCTGCTTGATGTTTATCTCCTATGAGTGGTGCCCAAGGAGCCTCACTGGTTCTGCCCACGAGGGAGGAGCTTGAAGGCTCAGTGCTCACTCACTCCCTCTCCTCAGTTTCTCCGCGTGGGTTTCACAGTTCCTCCTGTCGCCCAGGTACTTCACGTTCCCGTTTGAAGAAGCGAGCCTGTCGGCGGAGGAGGCCGTGATCCACCGCCCGGACAAAGCCTGCTTCCTGATGGCGCACAACGGCTGGGTCATGGGGGACGACCCCCTGCGGAACTTCGCCGAACCAGGTGTGTGCGCGCCTTGGCTGCTCCTCTGTGGCCAGGGACAGGAAGCTCCTGGCAAACGCCAAACAGGGGCCATTTTAGCCAGTATTTTCCTCGCTAGGCTAGTGGTTTATAAACTGACTCATCACAGAGGGACCAGAGGGCAGACAGTTTGAGAGAAAAGGATGATGAAAAGGATGGATTCGGCTTTCTCCTCCTCCCCCTCTTCTCCCCCCCTCCACCAGACGGCTCCTGTAGATCTGCTTTTCACTGGGATTGCGCATAAGATTGTATTTTTGCAAAAATGTACGCTATAGCCTTTTTAAAAGGCATTTGGGACCCCAGCTGTCACAGCTGTGTTGCCATAGGAGATATGTGCACTCATTGGCCAGAGGAGTGAAGTCTTCGAGGAGCAGTTTTCAACCAGAAACTAATCATCTCTGGGCTCCCTCTCACGGAGCCCTGACACCTTATTTCTCTGCAGCTGTTTTTTGTTGCTGGGAGCAACTGACAGGGAACCCATCAATATATTTATTTTTCAACATTTCGGAACTAGAAGTCTGCTTTCATGACAGTCAGATGAATTTAAAGATCTCACTTAAAAGCAAAAAGGGTGCAACCTGGGGGCGTAAGCGTCTCCGCCAGCTCCTTTCTGGCCGTTGAAAGTGAAACGTAAATAAGGCATCCTGTGTGTCGTGGCCTTCATGTCACCTATGGCCACACGGGTGCAGGCGGGTGGAGCTTGCGAAGGGTGTGGTGGAACTGTGGCTCGAAAGGCCGATGACACTGCCACTGCCGTTTTCCTTTAAGAAGCAGCTTGGTTTTTTGACATCCAGCCCACGATTTTAGAAGAGACTACGAGCCAGCATTCTTGCAAAGCAGATGAGACGTCAATTCATACCAATCTTTGAAAACTTTATCCCAAGCCACGCGAGGCATAATCTTAACCAGTATGTCCGCGGCTGCGGTAGAAATAGCCCACGGGGCATGAAAACAACAGCGTCTCCCTGGCGTCGGCGTCTCCCCCTGACGCCTCGGATCACCGAAGGCCCGCTCTCTCCTTCCAGGCTCCAACGTGTATCTCCGGCGGGAGCTGATCTGCTGGGGCGACAGCGTGAAGCTCCGCTACGGGCAGAAGCCGGAGGACTGCCCGTACCTCTGGGCCCACATGAGGAAGTACACGGAGATCACCGCCACGCACTTCCAGGGCGTGCGGCTGGACAACTGCCACTCCACGCCGCTCCACGTGGCCGAGGTACGGGGGCAGCTCGTCTCCATCACAAGGAGGCCCCGCACCCCCTGGCTCCCCAGATAGAGTGCGCGTGCGCTGCCCTGTGTGCCTGGACACAGCGTGGACCTGCTGGTTGCATTTAAAACCTCTGCACAGTTTGCATAATTCTTTTTTCTTTTGTTAATCCTCACCCGAGGGTATTTTTCCATTGATTTTTAGGGAGAGTGGAAGAGAGAGGGAGACAGAGAGAAACCTCGATGTGAGAGAGATGACACATCAGTTGTTTGCCTCCTGCACATGCCCTGACCAGGACCTGAGCTGGGAGGAGCCTGCAACACATTGTGCCCTTGACCGGAATCGAGCCCGGGTCCCTTTGCTCGGCAGGCCGACACTCTATCCACTGAGCCAAACTGGCCAGGGCACAATTTGCACAATTCTAACCGCATCCTTTGACATGTTATTATGGAATACTGAGCGATAAAATGTTTGAGTTAATATTTTTATCCTAATTTAGGGGAACAGAAAGTCTCTAGGATCCTACTTGTTAGCTGATAGAATTTCAAGTACTTATTAACCTTTGTGCAAACGTTGTAAATATTTTGGAAGCGGACTGACTGTGGGTTAGGCGGTTATCACATCCACAGGAACAGCTGTCTGCAGCGAGTCAGTCGCTCTGTCTGTGCCACACCTGCGTGCCTCACACAGGGACTCCATCAGTGACGGCCTAGCCCACCGCCTGGAACGTAGACGCACAAACACACACACACAAGCAGGGGAAAGCCTCGCAGAACTGCAGGGCAATGGTCTATCTTTTTAACACGACACTAACATTTCTCTTTTTTCCCTTTTGTGTCCCTATTATCTTTACAAAATCTAACCACCCTTTGAACTCTTTCATTCTCTTTTTTAAAAAATATATATATTTTTTCAATGATTTCAGAGAGGAAAGAAGAGGGAGAGAGATAGAAAAAAAAAAAACATCAACGATGAGAGAGAATCAAGGATCAGCTGCCTCCTGCACGCCCCACACTGGGGATCGAGCCTGTAACCCGGGCACGTGCCCTGATGGGAAATGGAGCCGTGACCTTCTGGTTCCTCGGTTGATGCTCAAGCATTGAGTGCCACCGGCCGGGCAGTTTCATTCTCTTTATATATCCTCTGGTTTGTTGGGTATAGCGGTCTGTTTTATTTTATTTTTTCACATGTACATTAAATGTCTGGAAATGCCTCCTGCATTCCCACGGTGTCTTGCAACATGGTCTTTTCCTGTCGAGTCCCCGCCCAGGCTCGCCCCTCCGCTCTCCTCCGTCTTGTTTTCTCTCCGGTGACCTTTCTGACTGCCTTTTGCAGTACATGCTGGACGCCGCCCGGAAACTGCAGCCCAACCTGTACGTGGTGGCGGAGCTGTTCACCGGGAGCGAGGAGCTGGACAACATCTTCGTCACCAGGCTGGGCATCAGCTCCCTGATCAGAGGTGGGCTGCTGACGCGGTGACCCGGCCTTGCGGAGCTCTCCCTGAAGGCTTACTAGCACAGTGCACGTCCTTTCAGATACTCCACACAGAATTCCCCATGTGACGCAGACTGGTTTGGTTTTGTTTCTTTTGTTTGTTTTTTCAGTAAAACTTTCCACGGTGAGGAAAAATATTTTATTTTTTAATATGTTCTTACCGATTTTATCAATCGACTGCCTCCTGCACACCCCCTACTGGGGATCAAGCCCGCAACCCTGGCACATGCCCTGACTGGGAATTGAACCGTGACTTCGTGGTTCATGGGTCGATGGTCAACCACTTAGCCACACTGGCCGGGTGGTAAAATATTTTAAACTGAAAGACCAGGGCGATGCATCGATGACTCCTGAACAAAACCGTTTTGTTGTTGTTGAAAATATACAAATCTGTTTTTCCTCTTGACTACCTAGATATACGATAGAATCCTTAGATTCTTATCTAACCAACCTCCTAATAAACAACGCATGCTCCGTTTTATCTACGTGAGCCATTTTCCCAGTTAAATTATCGAGTAGTTACCTTTTTGGTCACTTAAGCTAGTGGACATTTGTTTAAATGTTTAAAGCAGTTTTTTAAAAAAAATATTTTTATTGATTTCAGAGAGAGGAAGGGAGAGGGAGAGAGAGAGAGCAACATCAATGATGAGAGAGAATCATGGACCGGCTGCCTCCTGCGCGCCCCACACTGGGGATCGAGCGCGTAACCCAGGCCTGTGCGCTGACCGGGAATCGAACCTGGGACCCTTCAGTCTGCAGGCCAAGCCAGCTAGGGCTAAGGCAGCTGTATTGTTGGTAGTATTCATGTGGCCTTCTTTGGAAAGTCAGGCATGATGGGAAATCTAGCCTCGCACATTAACCACGAAGACTAAATAGCCGTCTCGCTTCGCAGAGGCCATGAGTGCGCATAACAGTCATGAGGAGGGCAGGCTGGTGTACCGCTACGGCGGCGAGCCCGTGGGCTCCTTCGTCCAGCCCTGCCTGAGGCCCCTGATGCCGGCCATCGCCCACGCCCTGTTCATGGACATCACCCACGACAACGAGTGTCCCATCGTGGTGAGCACCCGACCTGAGTCTCGCATGTTTCGATGTTGAGTGCTCCGCTGTTTAGTGGCAGTAACGTCCACGGACTTCAAAAGTGTGTGAGGTTCATAGGTGACTGGGACGTGGTGCTTAGAACGTCTTGTGATTTGTTCTAAAGCAAAGTGAGGCATCTTATAGAACGTATTTCTGTAATTGTCCTTTTACTTCATTATGCTGTCAGATGGCCCTTTGCATTGGACAGAAAATTAACTTCAGGTTTTTTGTTTGTTTGTTTTCTAGCACAGATCCGCCTACGACGCCCTCCCGAGCGCCGCGATCGTCTCCATGGCGTGCTGCGCGAGCGGGAGCACCCGGGGCTATGACGAGTTGGTGCCTCACCAGGTTGGTTTATGTGCTGTCTTCAGGTCCACATGGCCCGGCCAGTGTGGCTCCCTGGTTGAGCATGGCTCCATGAACCAAGCGGTCACGGTTCCATTCCCAGTCAGGACACATGCCCTGGTTGTGGGCTCGATCCCCAGTAGGGGGCGTGCAGGAGGCAACCGATCCATGATTCTCTCTCATCATTGATGTTTCTACCCTTCCCGCCCTCTCCTTTCTTCTCTCTAACATCAATAAAGACATATTTTAAATAAAATAAAATAAAATCCACATGGCCAGCATCTTTCAGCATTTGCCCCCAAAGTTCTCCTTGTGGCAAAAGTGTCCACGCGTTCTGTCTTCACTCTGTCCAGATTTCAGTGGTGGC